AGTAAATTTGAGCGTCTAAAAAATCTCTCAAATTCCTAACTCGTAAGATCGCATTAATATGTGAAACTAAAATAAACAGAACGAAGAAATCTGAATCACAATAAAAGTTATGGCAATGCGTAATTTCTAACGAGAAGCTGTCATTTGTATTCTTCGCAAAATATTATTACCTAACCAAATCAAGGAGGATTGTGGGCGGGGCGTATAGCACGCGTGGTGAAGACGAGAAATTGCTGTTGGAAAGCCTGAAGGGAAGATAACACATGGGAGACCTAGTCATAAGTCTCGGTATTTCAATTCGCCATTCCATAGTTTGCGGGCATTCGATTACATTCAATCAGACTGGTTATTCGTAACAGAGAACAAAGGACGTTAAAGCATTGAAATCCCAGTGGTAAATATATATACCAAATGCTTTAATATTCCACAGAACTATATTTTGTAAATAGAATGTGTTCATGGCTTTGCACAATTCTCCGAGTAAACAGCGGTTTAATCAGCACTGATCATCTCTTATTTGTGATGGTGAAGCTGTTTTCTTCTGCAGTGTACACTGAATTTCTAAATAACATTAAATGAGCTTCGGTTCCAAAGGGCTAAAAACTAGAAATAACAACCTACAGTTTGGTTTTGTATATGTCTCCACGCCGAGGTAATTCTTACATAACCATAACTTAACATCGGTGAATTAGATAATGTAATTTCCATCATTTCGGCTGTAGTGGTCATATCGTGTAATATTTGTCATCATTTCTAAAACACAGAGTATAATTGCAACAATTAATACTTGACAACGTTAGAGTGCCTAAACACTGGAATTGCACGCAAGATTGTCGAATGGCACAGGCCTGTAGGTGATCGTAAACTTTCCTTTGTTCTCCGGATGCTGAGGTCTTCGGATTGACTGATTCGTACGAGGCCTAAGTCATTAAGTACAGTTTTCGAAGTAAGGCACCAAGACTATTCGGTCCGTAGGACCACGTCCTCACAAAATTAAGTACAGTTTTCGAAGTAAGGCACCAACACTATTCGGTCTGTAGGACCACGTCCTCACAAAATCAGCCCTCGTTTCCTTGTGGGATGAGTGAAATGGTGTTCTTGACATATGAAAGTTCCAGTAACTGACCCAGACTATGTATAACAGCTGCAAAGCGAAATATTGCGAAATAAAACCATGAAACAATATGAAAATTCTGAATGGGGAACTGTGAGCACGAAGTTATATTTATTAAAGGTTTGAAACATGCTAGTGGGCCAATTAGGATAGTTCTGCAGTTCTAATGAATCTTTAAGTTGGCTCTTATCCAGTTTTGTATAACCCACACGTCTTTATTTGGAACGTTAACCCAAACCGAACGCATTGGACGTTCTCCGTCATCACCAGTTCATTTTTTCTTCACTGACTGTGGCCAAACTACAGAGTCAAAATAACAAAACAGGTGTTGAAACCGAATGTCGTTTTGCGTGATGCATTGAACGGTTAAGAAGGGATAAACTTTGTACTCTTAACACCGATTTTAGACACGTAACAATGTCACCAGGTCGTCGTCTGACTTTCTATTTTTAAATAAATACAGTTTAATTAAACATTTAAAGTAAAATTGTATCTATATGTACCGCCTCCTTTAACAATGATTATTTTGCTTGAGTTTCGTATATGAGTCTCAGAATAAACAGCGATTATTTCCTTAAAAAACATTAACAAGTTTACCTTTGAAATGGTGACTCGTGTTTTCTTTACAGTACGAACTTAATTCGTCAATATTCTTTGGACGAGCTTCGGATTCAAGAGGTTAATAACATGCAGGCCTACACCAGAATTCCTCCCTCTTATAGCTTACACATTCAAACGATTAGTTGGTGTATTGATATAAATAATGCTTTGTAGCTGCATTTCCACTATTAATACCATTAATAGTTTCTTTAAAAAATCACACGTTTCGGATGGCTGGATCTTCCTTCGGTTTTATGTAAAAATGTAAACACCGGCTCTGCTGAATCCCGATCTATGGACAGATTCATCCTTCGAAACGTTGAGATTTTAAGACCGTTTAGAAAGAACTTTCAACAGACGCTGAATTAAGTCCAAAACAGAGAAAGTATAAAAACGACATCTACAAAGACATTCAGAGAAAAACAGGTCATACCTTACTTCACGAAAATCGGTTGCTTAATATCCGTAGTATTAGCGTCCGCAACTGAACCACGTGACAGACACGCATCTTTTTTTGGAAAAAAATACCACGCCATTTTGACTGCAGAATAAAAGTATGGCGATTTCCCAAATTCTATTCTTTTAACGTCAGTGGTTCTGCTCGACCTATAGTCAGGTAAGATATGCGACAGTGAATAACAACAGACGTTGCGTTTCATCGAACACGGATGCAAACATCATAAAAACTGTGTAAGTTGGCAGCAGTGAACGGGCAATGACACTTTAAACAGATGATCCAAATTTCGTCATCCGCAATGTTTATATGCAATTTAACTGCAAGGCCATAAACTGAGCTACTTTTTTGCTGACTAGTGTTGAAATCTGAACATGTATGAATACCAAGTACTTACAACGTACCAACGCCATCTTGCTGTTTTCCATTTTCAGAACAAATTGCCTTTACAAAAGTTAAATACCGATAACTTTTCAAGAGTGTAATATCATCGAGATGTGCAGTTCTTCATGTTTTAAAGAATAACACAAAACCGATATACTATAAAAAGATGAAATGACCTACTTCTGGGACGTTTCGCCGTGTATTCTCGTGGAACTTTACGGAGGTTTCAGAGGTGACTGTAGCCTCCATCATCAGGACATAATTCTGATGACAGAATTTTATAAGATGAATGGGGTTTTAAGTAATTTCATATTTTATAGGATGAATTGGGTTTTAAGTAATTTCATAAAAACTTTGAGTATATTTTAAAGTATATTTTATTAAATTTAAAATTACGTATTTCCTGCTATTTAAACTTTCGTAATCTCTTAAACCAGCAATAAATAAAAACATCTGAAAAATTCTTAGTTAAAACAATAACCTGTCAAACAATGGGGCGCGAATACGCTAATGGTTAACATTTCAAGTTACGACTCATTGGAGGCGAAGCAGAATGAAATACAATGCGTCAGTAAACATTCCTCGGTCTGATCTTCAGGAGACGCGAAGCAGAATGAAATACAATGCGTCAATAAACACATTCCTCAGTCTGATCTTCAGGAGAGAGAGGTTTTTGGAACTTACTTAATTTTGCGTTCGGCTTCCGCAGTGTAAATCCATTAAGCACGCCCAACGAAAAATAAATTAATTTTATGAATAATAAATGCCAGCATTTACTCATTTAATGCGAACTACTGTTTACAACACTGAGCTGAACCAACAATGCTGTCAGTTGTGAAATTGGACATGTAAATGAAATCAGCCATGCGAACCTTTGTTGTTCAGTCAATCTAGTTTGTTCTATTTTGGGGGATTTGATAATTTAATCGAATTTTACTTGGCAATCAAAAGATAATTACCGTACGACGGTCTGCATATCCTGTATTTTAACACAGTCGAAATTTTCCGAAGTTAGTAAACCCATTATCGAGTATTCAGGTTTATTTGGAAACGACCAATGAACATTGATTCAAAAGAGGGCTAGAGCTACATACATTTTGGGCTTCTTTTCAGAGGCACTATTTTACTGTGACACTGAAGGACACTGTGTAGTTCAGTGCCCATTTCAAACGTCTATTGATTGAAATTAATCCAAAGTAAAGTTCCCAGCTCTGGATCCAAGAGCCTCGTTTACGTATCTAGATTTGCGAGCTGTGTTCAACCCTAGAACAACCTTTTACCGCTTGCAACTACAATGGTTCTAATTTGGTTATGATAGAGGAACTGGTCTTTGAAGCTTTCGATTGTCGTGCAATGTTTTGTTGAAATGCCGTGATCAATCATTACATTTCTGATCGATGTTGATCAACCGTTTGGTAGCATCTGTGACATTTGTAGTCATTGTCGTAATGTCAATCACCTTCGGGACAATATGACATGGATGTATATTAGAATTAGCTAAAATAATACATTTACTGAGGTAACAGGCCCTTCGCAAGACATTCAAACAAGAGAGTGAATCTGAATTCATTATCAATAAAGTTTATGTTACTGAACAACGCCCAGATAATACAGAGAAGTATGAAAAAGCGAGCGTCCCACTACTAACGTTTGCATGTAAACAGCTTCACTGGCTTCACAAAAATAATTCTTACCTCAGCGCGGATGTCCATTTCAACTGTGCAATACTCCGTTCTCTGCACCCTCCCTCTCGTCCGTGGATAATGTACGGTCCAGCTGCCAAAGAGCCCAACCACTGTTATTATCCGACATCTCATTACCCGCTAAAGAAAGGAAGCAAAAGAGAAACAAAGTAGAAAAGAAATGGCGAATACTCCGGTTTGGCTATTAATGCACCACCAGACCACTAAAACTGAAGGAATATCGAAGAAACGTTTTAATATGTAACGACAGGGACATATTATTATAACCCTAGTAATGTGAAGCGATTGTTGGAGGGATTGAAAAATACTGTATTTCCGCTCGACGTGACATCTGTGGTTAACCACTGGAGAAGAAATAAAAGTAAAACTGAAGGAGGGACACCAAAAAGGAGTAAGAAAAGCGACAGAAAAGTTACCACAAACTATCGTGATTGATACACACAGCGTATAAACCAGCTTACAAACTAACTCCACGGAGCTGAGTCCTTGTTGAGAAACTGATAGTCGCATAGCTAATCAAGAAATACGTTTGGCGACTAACAGTCTTACCTTGTTGGGCTTTTGTTTTGTTACTATTAAATGGACAACACGTGTGGCAGATATTATTGGCCTTGTTTCGATTTTCATATTTTATTTTAATAGACTAATTCTCTGCTTTAAAAATTCTTTTAACGAGATTCCTACTTGTATTTAGTATCTGGCATCTTTATTACATAGCATGTCTTAAGGTTATGTCTTTTGACAGAGACCTCGCTCGGCTGGTACCCGGCCACCCTCGAGCCCTTGAGAAGTGCGCTTCGATGGACAGAAGTCATTTCTTGGAAGATGACCATCGAAGATTTAAGGGACAGAGACAGGTGCGGCCACTAAACTTACATATTTTAATATCCTTCCATACGTGTTTTAAATTAAGGTATGAAGTGAATAAAGTAAAGCACGCACAAGTAAATTATCATGAACACAGCTTCACCGACCACGAAAAGCTTAATACCAAAAAAGTTATTAACATCAGACTGCTTCAGGCACTACAAAACACGAGGTCGGCAAATTTTAACTGCATTTATTCTGTGGCTTGTCCATGTTACAGATACTTTGTATGCGTGTTGTTTTGAGATTACCGGACGAGCTCAGTTTCATTAATTTTTAATTTGTCTAAAACACTATCAACAACAGAAATTATGTGCCTACAGAGTTTTGTTCGTGCGGTTTTATGTTGTTGTACTCTCAATTTAACTAACAAAATACATTTTACTAAAGTCTAGAAGAGCGTAATATTTGTTTATCGAAGCTTTCTCCAACAACACAGAACCGCATAAACATCTCGAACACAAAATAAAGTTTGTGTTTCAATCTAATATTATTCATCTGTCCGTGTCTAGGGCCTAGCGGCCAACGGCGTTTTGTGACCCTGGCAACATCCGAGATGCAACTATAGGGAGGCTTTGGACTTCATCAGCATCACTTACTCGTATAACGATGTGCAATGTTGGGCATGCAGCCTTAAGAAGCAGGGACCCTTGAAATGTGCTGTAAGGTTCAAGAGGGCGGTACGAAGACATTATGCAGAAAACATTTATCACATAATTTTCTGTGCTCATAAAGGTACACTGCAAGACTATGTAAAAAAATGCTGTATTTTCGAGGTATGTTTGTTACTTTGTTATGAAAAACGAGGCTTTGTTCTGTGAATAAAGATTTCCGGTAACTTCTCCCTCGAATTCGACGGAGAAACTTTGGCAGAGCAGCCACTGTTAGCAAAAAAGAGATTAAAACAGGGTGTTGTTTAAGTCTGTTCACACTTTATTTTAATGTAAGTCCGTAGTACAGGGTCTTATTTGAGGAGTCGATTTATAGCTGGTGAAATTCCTAAGGTTCATCACATTCTTGACAAAACCCAAGCATCGATTTGTGCCCCGGCCGATCATATGTAGTTCACATTTTGCCATTCTGTTTCTGTAAGATCCATTGTACGTAATATCAGATATATTTCTCATGTATGTCTTGCCTCTAAGTAAGCTTTTCTCTTGATTACAAACAGAATTTCCCCAATGTGTACATTTCACCACTTTTTATTTGAACATGAATAAATATGGAACATCGATGGAATGATATTGACGAAGAGAAGCCAAGGGACTCGGGGAAAGAAACTTCAACAAACAATTAAATTAAATGCATTAAATAATTTTATGTAATTTGATTAAGATTACACAAGGTACTTTCAGCTCACATTTATGATAATGAAACTTGCATCCGAACATGAAGATAAAATAAATGAAGGTGGCGGGAAATGAACGTATTTTACGAAACCACGAAGTCTAGAAAGCAGAGCAGAAACACAGCTCGTTCGTAGGAGAGCAAATGCAGAACACATATCAAAGTCTAGAAGATACGAATATATAGATGATGTGCCAAGAATTTTCAATTCAAGAATTCATACAGAAGTACACTCTTATAAATTAATTTGATGAAAGACATGGAAGAAGAATGGATAATCAGATCTGAAACTAAACAAGCTCTTTGAAACGAGATGGTTTTTTGTATTTGACTTGGCAGCATTATCCTAATGCTACTGGCGAAATTCATACGATTTAGAATTTTCAGTATCGAAATTCTTATTCTCTTTCAACATTTGTTTAGCCACAACTGAAAGTTTATTCCCTAGGCTCCCTTAAACAAACAGCCATTTCTAGTCCATGAAAAACAAACAGCCCTTTCCAGTTAATCATAAATAACCTCGATGACACAGTTTTCAACTGCAATCCACAGGACGCTATTCTGAGACATCAACATTTTCAAGACGGGCCAAACCACACAACGCTCGCTCTTCCATGATCAGTCGAGGCCCGACTCATTCATTACTCGTCGACTGAGAGAGAGAGAGAGAGAGAGAGAGAGAGAAAGGATCATGGCTGCGAAGAAAACAGTTCAAAGAGCTTAAAGGCGAAGTGCCTTTAAGATATTCATCCTTGAATGTGATGAAATATTTTTTTGGAACGTGTCTTCTCGTTATCCCTCGCGCCTGAATCGTCCTTAGCATTTCATGTTTATAAATGATAAAGTCCGGTTGCTCGGAATTATCTCTTATATTTTTAACTGATCGAGAAGACCTTTCTCGGAGAAATACATAAATATTTTTCAGTATTTTGTTTCAGAATGTCGAATCGCGCTCAAGGCACTGATGTTTGTCCTCGTCTTTGCGTTTTGTTGTGTTCTGTGTAGGCACAGGCCTCGCGGCAGGCTGATCGCCCATCCGAGGAGTCATGATTAATAATTTCAGAGAACCTATAAAGTATGTCAATATCGGTCTTGTTGATAGTTATAGCGTGTGTATTTGCGGGTTTAGTGTTTTGGATGAACGTACTGTCTCCATCTTCAGGCATTACTACCCAAAAGTCAAACGTTGACATTCTTACCGCGGTGATAACCTCAAATACAGTACACTAAAACACGATTTGGGCCTCGGGCCATACAAACCTCATAAAACTCGCTGGAAAACTTTTAGTTTATACTGTTAATATCAAATTTGTATAATTCGCGGAGTAGTCGCATAGTCAAAGCACGCAGCCGAACAGACTCAACCTCCACAGTAGTTTTGCGCTTTCATTTCTTCACATAGTATACGAAACGCAATAAAACCCAATCCGCATTTTGACTTTATAAAAATAAGAACACGCGTGGGCAGCAGCCCGACGCTGTGAAAAGCAATAAAATTCCCCAGCCTCTAAAATAACTCCAGAAGTTGTTTTGAAACGCATGCCAGCTGTTGATATTAGGAATACAGAGCAGATTACATTTCAGTGGTTACAATCATGAAGTATGTCTTTTAAGAACACAGTCCCTGCGTTCGAAGAAATGTTAAATTACTTATGAAAGCCAATCAACCAACTATGAACTTAACTCTGATTCCTCGTTGTTTTATATAAATTATGTATTACAGGTTTATTTAAAGACGCTGTCTTAGCTACGTGAGTTGTAGTGTGCGTGACTGTCATAACGAATTTCATAGGCTGTATGGAGAAATTATCATGGAGTCTTCCAGGATACAATTCCAATTCGAATTAATTACGATGGGGGATATAAATCGAAGAGAGAGTGAAAACTGTATTATCTGTGAAAATGACAATAAAGATTAATCAGACACATAATTTGAATACAAGACTATCACTTATTTTGAACACTCACTCTCAACTGAGAAAAGTGAAACAGGAGTAAATTTATGACGTCCTCTTGGGTACCAAAATAAAGCTTAAGATAAACTTTCAGATGTCCAAAGAAGCTAAGAATTAATATGGATTTCTGTACTGGGAGTATTTTACTTGTTTGTTTGTACATTCTGTGCGTTAAATAAAGATCAATATTAAAACAGAGTTCATCTTCAAAATTTACATGTAATCAATTTAATTAATGTTATGTGTCATACTTCACCAAAAAGGTTTAACATTCCTTCACTAAAATACAAAATCCACTATTAAATTTTGAAGAGGCATTTCTATACAGGTAAGAATGGACCTGATACAAACCATACAGTTTAAGGAAACCAGACTTTTAGCATGCAGTTTCACAACCTTACATTTGCCTATGACAAGCAAAAATCACCAGTATCTTACCTTCCCATCATCCTCAACCAAGTGAAGATCGTCTCACCTTGGCTAGGCCTGAAAATGCTGTAAACTTGAATATTAACCAGATTCTCCGTAAAGCAGAATTTATAACGTGTTCTGATTTCGTAGTGAACTCACAATGAGTGCAAATATCCACTGCAAAATTGTTGCAGAAAAGTAAATCATAACTTAAGAATAATTTGCTTAAACTCTTAGCTGTCACCATAAGGAATTCAAAATATAAGCCCATTTGACAGATAGCACAGACTTGCAGAGTTTCTTGGCAAAAGTTTTTATCCCGCTACTGAAGTTGACAGAGGATGAAAACACGTTTTTCACGTGACTTTGTACTCTTTGAAGCGTTTCAATCGAAACGCCAAACAAAATGTTAAGAGTACGAATCCACATGCAACAGGGGGTGTCGCTGATCTTCGTTGCCAGTTACTTCTCATCAAAGGGCGTCTTTACAAAGTACGTGGTCAGCGTGCCTTTGCCTTTGACGTACGTCGGGCCCCTGCACTCGCACTCATATCCCGCCCCCATCAGGATTCTGGCTGTGCATTCTGTAACCTGTACCACACAGACAAAAAGTCACGTCAGAAAACCTGCAAGCTGCGGAAGAAGCCTGGACAAACTGCGACACGACACTTTCGCGCTCATGTCTGAGGCACAACAGAATCTGTACTACACAATCTTTTGATGTACAATATCAAAGTGAAAGGCATGAATAATGCTTAAAAGAAATGCGCAGCGTCAAAAGCCAGTTGTAATCGGGGCTTCAAGCACATTTATTCATATTTTTATGAACACTGACCTGCAGTCGCCCCATTACGCCACAGCTATCCATTCGTGAGGCAACATTGACCGTGTTGCCCCATATATCATACTGCGGTTTCTGAGCACCCACCACTCCAGCTATTACTGGTCCATGGTTCAAACCTGTAATATATTAACAACTGAATTATTACATGAGGCCTTTCACCTGGCTACATTTTTATACAATGTATCACAAACATGAAGATTTCTGTCTTCTGGGTTGTTGCGCTGTATAAATGAATCACTCTGATGACGGAGGCAGTATGACCTCTGAAACGTTGGTTAACATCTACCAGACTACACAGCGCAACAACCCAGAAGACAGAAATCTTCATACTCACCGCTGTGAAAACCTCAAATCTTACATATCACAAAATATTAAACGGGAAATGATTCACATAGAGCACGTTGATCTTATTGCTTGTTGCATGAAGAACTAAAGAGTTTCGACAAGTTAGGATTTTTATCCTAAAGTATCTTAACCAGTATTGCTAATTTGCAATTAATTACTTTTAAGTATAGTTCATGAATATGTGCCTGCACATGTTGATAATTGTTTTCAATCGTACATTTCTGAAGGAAAGGCTTCATGACCCATGCATGTCTTAGTCTGTAAATTACAACACAGCCTCACCCATCCTGAGTTTAAACCTCTGAAATGATTCTCTGTTGATCTGGTCGAGGATGGTCATAAGAGCGACGGCGAAGTCAACTAAGATGAGGACGTTGTGTTCCTGTTGTTTGCTGACATCCTGCAAAAAACATGTGAAGCCACATGATGTTCTTCGTATTATAACAAACTCAAATTATCTGAGTTGTATATTTCTGCATGTACATTGAAAATGCATACATCACACTTTCAGTTATAATAATATAAAACCAAGCAAAAAGAAAATGTACAACAGCACAGAATAAATACCACTGTTCACATGTTCTGATGTTGATAAATATCAGATACATAAACAACTTAGGAAATGTACACATAAAATTCTGTTGCATTTTAAACAATTTTAACTTTGACCTTTAACCAACAAAACTGTATTAATTGTGATAACTATGGAAAGCCTGGAGATTCCCCAGTAACTTTCACAGAATCCACGTTCTGCTTCATGTACTGTGAACTGATAGCAGTCATTCACCATTAACTGCAATTAAAACAATATAAAAAGTTTTGCAATTTAAAAAATGTAGAAGAGACAAGAATTACCTCCGAGTTATGCCACAGAAGGAAGGAAGTATTACAAATAGTAATAAAACCTGTGTAATACGCACATAAAACACAAGAAAAATTATTCTAAAAAACATACAAGCATCAAATGCCTGTTGAGTTATAAGCACCTGCTATAATACATAGAAAGTTAATTTATATGCTTACTGTAGGTTTGGCCTTTGGAAGCAAGAAAAAAGAATGAGATGAATTAAAATGGGGAGAGTTCTCGATCAGTTGAGAACTCGAAGCTAAGAAACACGGATGATAATATTTGGGCTGAGTGCAGTAATAACAG